CAGCAGTTCAGGGCCTAGGGTTTTTATTTGTTTTTAAAGGGGGGGGGGGGGTTGGGGGGTTTTGTAGGGTTAATTTAGGGGTTTCATATATTGTGTTAGCTAGCTAATAGAGAGAAGTGACCTCTCTTATCTCTGTGCTTGGTCGACTCTACGTACTATACTTATAGAGAGAACTCGCGACACGCGAGCTAGTAAGCAAATGAAGGAGACCATTAAGTACACAAGATCGTCATGAACATATACAGATAGAAGTGATTGACCTCCTCCTTCTCTGAGAGATTGATCGAACAACAAGTTTTCGTATATCTGTCCGACGCTACTAGCTACATATATACAATATAAGATCTCTTACAATCCGTAACATCTGAAGTCAAATTTCACATGGTATTCTTCGGATTTATTGATGACATGGTCAAGAAAGAATCCTGCGATTTCCTCTTGAATTGCTTTTATGCGATCTTGTGGTAGGAGATCATCCCGCATCTGCCAGATCTAAATCGAAGAAGAGGGTCAATACAAGTGTATGAATGAAACTCAACACAAATTATGGTAATAAAATAAAATTGTGAATAATTTTGCTTAAGCACTTCATATTGTTTTTCAGAGTAGCCCCGCTTATTCTTGGCGGTCTCGTTGTAGATGAGCTTGCAAACGTAGTATCCATAGAAATCATTCCCGGCTTCCTGCCACAAGCACTTCACGAGAAATAGAGGTCAATCAAAGTAATAAGCAAGCATGCTAAATGGTATTGATGAAACTACCTAGAATCAATGGGAGATGCGCGGAACTAGGTAGTAGTACTTACTTCCGGGTGTTTAAATTTCAGCTCGGTCGACAGTCCCGGAGAAATTGCGGTGAACTCTTTCCAAACCCTGCCAGACAAAGAAAATAATTACTTGATATCAAGAAATGAACAAAGTTGCCGATATGGTGCGATAATGATCGATTGAACTTACTTCTGGAGCATCTGAGTCATGTCCGCATAGTCCTCGGGATCTTTTTGTCTCGAGTCTAAGACGGTTACTAGTCCCTGCTCAAGCTTAATCTCTAGGAGAATAAAGTGGTAGCTGCGCACGCATGCATAACTAATCAGTTACATTACTATAACTCGAGTAATAAGGGAAACCGAATGTGCACAAGACAGTAACACTCACTTGAAGTTGTAAGGAAAGAGTATTTTACCTTTGCTTTGATTTTTGAGCAACAATTGCAGCAAGTTGTCCTTAGTATCAGCGACTCTGTTTTTAACCGTCCATTCATGTATGATATTTGGGTTAATGAACCCAATGTCATAGATTTGTGCTTTTCTGCATTCGACGATTTTCAGTCTGCATAATATAATGAGGATAATTATATATACATGCAATGAAAGAGCTAAGCTATATATATAGACACTTAATTACAGAAAGTAGTACTTACAGACAGTAGCAAGCCACGAGTGATTTGTCGAGGGCCTTTCAATTGTAGAACTGAAAAAACTCGTCAAAATCAACAGTTAACAGTTCTTGTCCAATGAAGTCGTGGTCCTCTTTAATTCTCATCGACAAAGCATCCTTCCCAGACTCCCTACTGGTTTTCATGTACCATTGATGGAATCTTCGCATCATCGTTGTTAGAGGACTTCCATCTTTGATGAGAGGCTTCCTGTACTGGTATTTGAATTTGTCCACCTCCATTGTATCAAAATGTGCATCATCGGGCAGGTAATCACCAGGATTGGTATCGGGCAATATCCCCGGCAGATTTGCGACGATGTCGCTAGACACCTTGAGCGGGGGGCACGATTGGTTCTCCTATTCTCCGAGCTGGGGAATGTTTTCCCCTCTTCATCGATCTGCTAAACTTTTTTCAGTTGAAGTAGTTCCTGACCGTCACACATCTTCATATGTCTTTTTAAGACAACGGAGTTGTCATCCGGCGAAGGCGGTGGTGGTCGCTTCAGGGCATCAATAGTGTGTTGAACTTTCACGGAATCTATCTTCTCCTCCGGAGGTGGATGTTTCATAGCTCTTCGCGTTTCAAAGAAGTCCTTCACATAGGCTTTACAGATCTCCGTGTTTTCCTCCACGGTCCTCTCGTATGGTAACTTCTCTAGAGGCTTGAGAGATGG